TCCTGTCCATCCAGAAAACTTTATGAACATGCTAACGTGTGTAAGTACAAAAGGGCAAGGCCTCATGGCGAATGGCCCTCATTTCACCTCAAGCCGGGCTAAGGCACGAGTTTTCGGACTTAATTGTGTCCCCCCTTGGTCAGTGGGCATGTTATTCCTACTTGCTTGTACAGGGCGGAAGCACGCTCTCTCGTCAAATGTTTATATAGCTCATAGGATCGAATGGCCCGTGTGGGCCAAGACACCCCATATATGCAACACCTCAGGACACTGGGGATCCTATTGTGGTCGGGATTGACTCTTGTACACAAAACACATGTAGACTGGTCTAGTGACGTCCGCCTTGTTGTACCTGGAGAGGATAAAGAAGCTGGTCGCAGTGGGTTCCGCGAACGCAGATGTTGGAGTTAGGAATGAACATGGACCGCATTTGTTCTACTTGTTATCCGAGGTTTCTGGCTAACGTGATAGGTTCTCTTTCCAGCACCTCGCTGGCATTAGGACCTAATCCCAGAAGGTAAGCTTGCTGTGAGGATAGTGTGATTCCGGCGCACCCACCCCGCATCGTTTGGCACCCTCTATTCCGGTCCACCTAAATATCCTATATAGTAGATGGGGCTGGCAACACACCTGTCACGTGTCGTCGAGATTATCAGTTCTCCGGTCTGCGAGTCACCTGAGGATTGTACTCTTGCTCAAACAACTCGGTTTACTACAGCGCATGGAGTGCAAGAGAGGGACGCTGTCAGCCAGTGAAGCCCCGGTCTGCCAGTCCACAGGTACTGCCCCTGATCTCCACGCAACATTGCAGAGGCGTGTCAACCAGGACAGCCCTACAACGTCCAGAGCCTTCAGGAACTCGGGGCGGACCTCATCAACACCAGGGGCTCTGCCACCAAGGAGTTGTTTAACTGCCTCAGTGACCTCGCCCCCGGAAATTGGCGGGTCATTCCCCTCATCCCCAGACTCTGCTTCCTCCTCGGAAGACGTGTCAGTGGGATTAAGGAGGTCCTCGAAGTATTCCTTCCACCGCCTGACAATTTTCTCAGTCGACGTCAGCAGCGCTCCGCCAGCACTATACACAGTGCAGGTAGAGCACCGCTTTCCCCTCCTGAGACGCCTGACGGTTTGCCAGAATCTCTTCGAGGCAGTCCGAAAGTCTTTTTCCATGGCCTCTCCGAACTCCTCCCACACCCGAGTTTTTGCTTCAGCCACTGCCCGAGCCGCATTCCGCTTGGCCTGTCGATACCTGTCGGCTGCCTCCGGAGTCCCACAGGCTAACCAAGCCCGATAGGACTCCTTCTTCAGCCTGGTGGCTCCCTTCACCTCTGGTGTCCACCATTTGGTTCGGGGATTACCACCACGGCAGGCACCAACCACCTTGCGGCCGCAGCTCAATGCAGCAGCTTCGGCAATGGAGACGCTGAACATGGTCCATTCGGACTCAATGTCCCCAGTCTCCCTCGGAATGCTGTTGAAGCTCTGCCGGAGGTGTGCGTTGAAGATCTCGCGGACTGGGGCCTCTGCTAGACGTTCCCAGCACACCCTCACTACGCGTTTAGGTGCACCAGGTCTGTCCAGCGTCCTCCCCCGCCACCTGATCCAACTCACCACCAGGTGGTGATCAGTTGACAGCTCAGCCCCTCTCTTTACCCGAGTGTCCAGAACATATGGTCGCAGGTCTGTGATACGATTACAAAATCGATCATCGACCTACGGCCTAGAGCATCCTGGTGCCACGTGCACTTATGAACACTCTTATGTTCGAACAGGGTGTTCGTTATGGCCAAACTGTGATTAGCACAGAAGTCCAATAACAAAGCACCGCTCGGGTTCAGATCAGGGAGGCCGTTCCTCCAAAACTTACAAAATCGATCATCGTACGCTAGAGCGTCCACGTGCACTTATGGACACTCTTATGTTCGAACAGGGTGTTCGTTATGGCCAAACTGTGGTTAGCACAGAAGTCCAATAACAGAGCACCGCTCGGGTTCAGATCAGGGAGGCCGTTCCTCCCAATCACGCCCCTCCAGGTCTCGCTGTCGTTACCCACGTGAGCATTGAAGTCTCCCAGCAGGACAACAGAGTCTCCAGGTGGAGCACCCTCCAGCACCCCCCCCAGGGACTCTAAGAAGGCTGGGTACTCTGAACTGCCACTCGGCGCATAAGCGCAGATGACAGTCAGGACCCGTTCCCCGACCCTAAGGCGCAGGGAACAAACCCTCTCGTCCACCGGGAAAAACCCCAACGTACCGGCAGCAAGCCGAGGGGATATTAGGATACCCACCCCAGCCCGCCGCCTCTCACCAGGGGCAACTCCAGACTGAGACAGAGTCCAGCCCCTCTCCAGGAGACTGGTTCCAGAGCCCAAGCCATGTGTAGAGGTGAGCCCGACTATATCTAGCCGGTACCTCTCAACCTCACGCACTAACTCAGGCTCCTTCCCCACCAGAGAGGTGACATTCCATGTCCCTATTGCCAGTCTTGGCAGCCGGGGGTCAGTCCGCCAGGGCCTCCGCTCCTGGCCGCCACCCGACACACAATGCACCCGACCCCTATGGCGCCTCCTGCGGGTGGTGGGCCTGCGGGAGGATGGGCCCATGTCTCCTCTTCGGGCTGTGCCCGGCCGGGCCCCATGGACTAAGGCCCGGCCACCAGACGCTCGCCCTCGGGCACCCTCCCCGGGCCTGGCTCCAGGGCGGGGCCCCGGTAACCCTATCCCGGGCAGGGTAAACTGTTCCCTCGGTGTCCTTTTCATAAGGGTCTTATGAATCGCTCTTTGTCTGGTCCCTCACCCAGGGCCAATTTGCCATGGGAGACCCTACCAGGGGGCAAAAGCCCCCAGACAACATAGCCCCTGGGATCCCTGGGACACACAAACCCCTCCACCACGATAAGGTAGCGATTCAAGGAGGGGATGTCTCTTGCTGAACATAAATTGAATTTGATGACAAAAACATTAGTGTCCTGTGCGTGGGAAGAAAACTTCTTTTTACAGCAAAAAAACCCTAAACTTCCGAGCAAGCACCGAGTGCGCAACGACGTAATGGGAAATTCACAGAGAAACTCGCGGATTCTTCCACTGACCGCTGCGGCACACCTGCACCAGGGTAAACCTCCGCCTACCCTACTCCTGCTTTACAGGTGAAAATAGAGCAACAGGACCGCTAGTCTTTGACTTTATTTATTTTCTGCTGTGTTTTACTTGCATCTATTTGAAAGAGTGAGTGTAAACACACAAAAAAATTATTTTATGTGCTGGAATGTGCAGAAAATAGGTTTAAATGTTAAACAAATTTCTTCCAGTCAGAGAATGTTGCATATAATTAAATTTTTGCTTGATGCATAAAGTTAAAAGATTAAAACTAATAAAACAAGTTTTAAAAAGAGACTTTTCCATTTGATTACATTTTGTATGATGGATTATGTAGAAAAAGTAGAATTGGGCTGAAAGATCTATCGCTTTATCACCTATTCAGGTTGTAAATCGTGTTTTTAAAAAGTAACTAAGTAATTAATTACTTTTGAAAATAAGTAATCAGTAAAGTAACGGGATTACTTTAATTCAATTTTTCAATTCAATTTTATTTATATAGCGCCAAATCACAACAAAAGTCGCCTCAAGGCGCTTCATAGATACAGAGAAAAACCCAACAATCATATGACCCCCTATGAGCAAGCACTTTGGCGACAGTGGGAAGGAAAAACTCCCTTTTAACAGGAAGAAACCTCCGGCAGAACCAGGCTCAGGGGGGCGGGGCCATCTGCTGCGACCGGTTGGGGTGAGAGAAGGAAGACAGGATAAAGACATGCTGTGGAAGAGAGACAGAGGTTAATAACAGATATGATTCAATGCAGAGAGGTCTATTAACACATAGTGAGTGAGAAAGGTGACTGGAAAGGAAAAACTCAATGCATCATGGGAATCCCCCGGCAGCCTACATCTATTGCAGCATAACTAAGGGAGGATTCAGGGTCACCTGGTCCAGCCCTAACTATATGCTTTAGCAAAAAGGAAAGTTTTAAGCCTAATCTTAAAAGTAGAGATAGTGTCTGTCTCCTGAATCCAAACTGGAAGCTGGTTCCACAGAAGAGGGGCCTGAAAACTGAAGGCTCTGCCTCCCATTCTACTTTTAAATACTCTAGGAACAACAAGTAGGCCTGCAGAGCGAGAGCGAAGTGCTCTAATAGGGTGATATGGTACTACAAGGTCATTAAGATAAGATGGGGCCTGATTATTTAAGACCTTGTATGTGAGGAGCAGGATTTTGAATTCAATTCTGGATTTAACAGGAAGCCAATGAAGGGAAGCCAAAACAGGAGAAATATGCTCTCTCTTTCTAGTCCCTGTCAGGACTCTTGCTGCAGCATTTTGGATTAGCTGAAGGCTTTTCAGCGAGTTTTTTGGACATCCTGATAATAATGAATTACAGTAGTCCAGCCTGGAAGTAATAAATGCATGAACTAGTTTTTCAGCGTCACTCTGAGACAGGATATTTCTAATTTTAGAGATGTTGCGCAAATGGAAGAAAGCAGTCTTACATATTTGTTTAATATGTGCGTTGAAGGACATGTCCTGGTCAAAAATGACTCCAAGGTTCCTCACAGTGTTACTGGAGGCCAAGGTAATGCCATCCAGAGTAAGAATCTGGTTAGATACCATATTTCTAAGATTTTCAGGGCCGAGTACAATAACCTCAGTTTTATCTGAATTAAGAAGCAGAAAGTTAGCGGCCATCCAGGTCTTTATGTCTTTAAGACATTCCTGCAGTTTAACTAATTGGTGTGTGTTATCTGGCTTCATGGACAGATAGAGCTGGGTGTCATCAGCATAGCAGTGAAAATGTATGCTATGTCTTCTAATGATGCTGCCTAAGGGAAGCATGTATAATGTAAACAGAATTGGTCCTAGCACTGAACCCTGTGGAACTCCATAATTAACCTCAGTGTGTGAAGAGGACTCTCCATTTACATGCACAAACTGGAGTCTATTAGATAGATATGATACAAACCACTGCAGTGCAGTACCTGTAATACCTACAGCATGTTCTAATCGCTCTAATAGGATATTATGGTCGACAGTATCGAATGCTGCACTAAGGTCTAGCAGGACAAGCACAGAGATGAGTCCACTGTCAGAGGCCATAAGAAGATCATTTGTAACCTTCACTAAAGCTGTTTCTGTGCTGTGATGAGCTCTGAAACCTGACTGAAACTCTTCAAATAAACCATTCCTCTGCAGATGATCTGTTAGCTGTTTACTTTTTTCAAGTAACTTGACTAACACTGCTCCTTAGTGACCCTGAATTTGTAAAATATTTAGAAGATCAGTGGGAACTTTTTCTTTCTACAAATGACTTACCGGGGGTTAGTGCTTCTACTCTATGGGAGGCAGGTAAGGCATTTCTCAGGGGCTCTATTATCTCTTTCACCTCAGCGAAAAAGAAGAGCACCTTAACCAAACAGTTAGTACTTGAACGCGACATTACTAACTTGGAGAGGGAGTTTAAGAAATCCTCGTCTGTTTCTGTGCTTAAAAAACTGGATGCAGCCAGATCAGCCCTGGACCAACTACTAACTCAGAAAGCGGAAACTGCAATATTCTATGCAAAGCATAGATTATTTGAATCGGGCAACAAACCTGGACGCTTACTTGCCCGACTTGCCCAGGGGAAAAGGGCTCTTATGCAATACCCTCTCTAAAAGATAAGAAAGTTGTTTTACAATTCGAGGCTAAACTTATCAGCAAAATAATGAAAGAGTTCTATCAGGACTTATATTCCCCTGAGTGTCAAAATACTGTAGACGCTAGGAAATTGTTTCTTGATAATGTTAATCTCCCTATACGATCAGAGGAAAGTCGATTAGATCTTTGCAGTCCTATTAGGGTGCAGGAAATCTTAGATGCAATCAAATCCTTACAGAGCGGAAAAGCTCCAGGCCCTGATGGGTTTGGGCCAGAGTTTTATAAAAAAAAATGGCCAAACACATGGTGGGTCCTTTATTAAAAATGTATGTAGAATATCTTGAGAGGGGCACACTTCCACCCACCTTAAACCTTGCCCACATATCCCTGATCTTAAAGAAGGATAAACCTGCAGATCTGTGTATATCTTACAGACCTCTAAGTTTACTTGGTGTAGATTGCGAGATTCTGTCCTAAGTTTTATCTAGACGATTGGAGGAGGTTCTGCCAGTTCTGATAAAGCCTGACCAAACGGGTTTTGTCAAGAATAGATGCTCCCACTGCAATGTACGCCGAGATCTGTTGGGTAACCTTGTGGAATACCGAATACAGAATTTCCCTTTACGCGGATGACGTGTTGCTCTTTATCACTACGCCAGAAACATCTATTCCTGCACTGACACATATCATTAATCAATTTGGCCTTTTTTCAGGGTATAAAATAAATTATGATAAATCTGAAGCTTTGCCACTGGGTGATGGGGGGAGGTGGGATGCTCCTACTAATTTTCCTTTCAGGTGGTCAACCACTGGTTTTACATATTTAGGTATTAGGGTGTCCGCAGACACAACAGAGTTGTACAAGTTGAACTTTAAACCAATTGTGGCCTCAATCAAGAATGACCTCAATAGGTGGTTTGACCTCCCCTATCTTGGATGGGTAGAATAAGTTTAATCAAAATGGATGTTTCACCCAGAATATTATATCCCATACAAATGTTGCCTGTCAGGATTAACAGAAAAACATTCTCAGAGATTGAGGGATATCTTTCTAAATTGATATGGCATGGGAAGAAATCTAGACTAAAAATACAGATTTTACAACTGCCTACAGATGAGGGGGGGCAGGCACTTCCTAACCTTTTATATTATTACTGTATAATAATAATATAATAATCTCAGGGTGGTTACATTCCTTTCTATACCAAGGCGAGCCACCGGTAGATACTTGGTGCTGTGACCCTCTTTTGCCTCTTAGTCTTTCATCTATTGATCTGGCTGACCTTCCTCTTGGTGTCAGAAATAATTTCATTTTGATGCATGTCTCAGCTGAGACAGTGTCCTTCGCCCTGCCAGGCTAAGTAAACAGTCTTCCAACCAACCCAGGTGGCCTTGCATAGAATGGGAAGGAACAGACTCAACACAGTCGTTATCAGGGAGTTTTTGTTCGGCTCCAGCCTTGAGCCCACAGCTGGCGCCGAAGGGGTAGCCGGATTATGATGGTAATTTTTCTTTTGCAACAACTCATGCGAATTTCAAAGCTGTTCTTTACACTGGTCTCTCAATCTCCCGTTGGAGAACCGCAAGCTTCCCCGTGATGGTATCAAACTTGCGTTCTGTGGTGTTGTCATTCTTTTGCTCAGAACTCACGACTCACGACTGCAGTGAGCTGTTCCACAATGTAATCCAATGTACGCTCAAAGGTGTTATTCTGAGCAGGCCTCTTCTTGATGTAACCCAATATACGCTCAGAGGTGTTATTCTGAGTATTCACGGCAGCTTTAAGCGTCTCCAAGGTCTTAACCATGCTGCTCTCAATGAGCCCATTCTGAGAAGTCGCGCCTTGTCCCATCATTTCAATCCCAGTGGGCAGCCTTGGGGGGGTTTGAACAGCCGGTTCCGCTTTCTTAATAGTTGGGTTGCGGTCACGTGGTTCTGATGACGTGCGGAGGCAGCGCGATTTTTGAGTGGAGGGCGGAAGTAAACATGGAGGACACTGTGGAGAGTCAGGAGAGCAGCTATTGTGCAACTTTAGACCCCGTTTCTCGGGAGAGATATAAACAGATAGTTAAAAAATATATCGGACATGATCCGTATTCTTTGAAAATGTCCGAATACACCACAGAAGTAAAGGATTTGCCTACTATCGAGGCTGTGGATATCACCAACTACTTGGTCCTCCAGACTTCTTACTACACTAGGCAGCAAATGAAAGCTTTCAAGAATCTGGAGGCGTACAATTTTTTTGTCAGCGGGTGGGTCCACAACCTTGGAACAAAACGTCTCCGTTGCCTCGCTAAATGTAAAAGTTTACCTAACAAAAGCATCTGTACAGAAGACAGAGAGAGCCCTTCTATAGATAGACCCAGAAAGAACAGCACAGGGTTCAGTGGGATCGTCTGTGAAAGATTGAGCGAAGCTCTATAGCAATATTTTTTCCAAAATCTAGTAATTAAAGGACATTGCCATATGCAATGGTAGTAAGTCCCCACATCCGTATTGCACTTTACACAAAGAGGAGAAATCTGAGGATGAATTTTATTTAGAAACTCTGGCGTACGCTGCAGTCTATGTACAATTCTGTAACGGCTTTCCTGGAGTCTGTTACAGGAAAACAATTTCTTGGCAGATCTAAAAGTTTTGGACCATGCTTCTGCACTAAGCTGAACTTCGAGGTCTGTTTCCCACTGAACCCTGGCCTTATCAGTGGTTACAAAATTCAAAGACAATAATTTCCTATTTCCCTTTCCTTTTGGCTCTGGAGCGAAGGCGGTCGTACTTTTCTCCTCTCCTCCTCCCTTATCTTCCCTGCTTAGTTCCTCTATGTCCTTGTCTATGTCTCTATTTTGTATTACTTTCCCTGGAACACTCTCACAGTCTGTTTCTAAAACCTAAAAGAGAATTATGGATTTGATCAACTGGTCTCTGAATGCTAATTGACACCCTTTTCTCAACGAGAAGTCTGGGCTCGGGCATGCCTGAGCCCTGCGAACAGATGGACGTGCAAGATCGGGCTGGCATTCAATCACCTGAGATATCTAATTGGAACCATGATAATAGGGTTCTTGCTGATCGGAGCTGGCTTGGCCCTGGACTTATCGAGAGAATAGCTAGGTTTCATTTGACGTAGACGTGACGTCGACGTAAAGCGCGAAATTTGACTGGCGGTCGGAAGTGAAAAAGATAAGCGCAAAATCACAGACAGACAGTACGCAAAATGCCTATGTCCTGTTGTGTTTACGGATGCTCCAGTAGGTCGACCCGAGAAACTGATAAACGGTATTTTAGGGTACCAAAAATAGCCCAACGAAGAGGAGAAAAATGGAAAATTCTAACCGAAAAACGTAGGAAAAAATGGATTTTAAATTTACGTTTACAGTCGGGAGGAGCAGAGTCTGCCAATGCCCGTGTCTGCAGCGACCACTTCGTCAGAGGTAATGTTATGTTTGCAAACGAACTTATTAGCATTAGGTTGTCGTTAAATTCTCGTTTACTTAGTGCTTTTAAGTTAGTAGTCTAATATTGACTTGATTGGGACTATAGGCTGCCCAAGTGCTTTGGATGACGAAGAGTCGGAGGACTGGGCTCCGACGGTCAATCTCGGCTACGAACGAAAACCCAGATCGGAATCAGTTCTCAAACGAGAGAAAAGAATGAAGCTTAAGGCAGAACAGCATCGATGTGCAGAGGCGATTTTGGATATGCAACAGACGGCTGAGAGCCCGGATTTGAGCCTAGTGACAGTGGAGAACCCCGAACTGCAGTCCTT